AATGCTAAGTAAGGCAACAATGCATTCTCAATGCACCTATAGTACTTGGATCCCAACTCATATTGCTAAGTAATTACACCCTCATACTTTTATACCAGAAGGGCAACCTTTCTGGTGCGTGCTGCCTAAAGGTATGCATATACACATTCATGAATGCACACTGAAATGCATGCACGGATACATTTTTCCCATATCAAGCTCAATGCACCTTAATGTGCTAGGGTAGAGCACTTAAGCATCCCTGCCCCTAACTTGTTTGCCAGCTCCTATCTCATCAATTTCTCAACCACTTCTGGAAGACCTGCAATAACCTTGTTTCTTCCAGTGACCATAGACTTCACCCATAGAGAAGGCAGAGGGTCAGGTGCCCTGGCGTCTGCATTAAGAAAACTCTATGGTCTCTCAGCCCTGAGAAAATTAGAGTCTCCTGAACTGCCTTGTTCCTTGCAGGGGCCAGTGACCAAAAACAATTAGGAAGCCAGGGGTGCACCGAGGTCTCTGCGGCTGCAGGTTTTTGCAGCAATGGGATCACTGAAGAAATTGGCAGCAACTGTGATTTTTAATAAGCCAGGGGTGGGGAGAGGAGCATTAAAGCAACTAGAAGATTGCAAAGATGGGGGGAGGAATGGGAACTTGAATAATATGCATTCAGGGAGTGCATTCCTAAACCAGATTAAGAGGAAAGCAAGATTAGTGAATTATAAACCAGATCATAAAATGAGGAAACATTTACTTGAGATTACACCTAAAAAACAAGAGCCAATTCATGCTCACTAGCGTAACCCCTGCAAATTCACTATTGGTTTTGCTCCTCTTTTTTAAGTGAAATATTCTCTGTTCAGCACTTTTCCTTTAGGGCTGCAAAACCTTGGTTGTGGATCTTAAGGCCATGTAACTGGTTCTTGATTTTGACTCTTGGCTCAATCTGTTATCCATTCCTACTTCGTGCACATCACTATCGGAACAATTAGTCCCAAACAGGATAACTTAAGGAAATTTCCATGTTCCCTTCTTTGATATTCTTTATCTGGGAACATGGTTGATACACTATGGTGGCTTTTCTCAACCCAGAATTGGACTTTAGCAATGATTGCACTGGCTAAGGATCATGACAGTTGAAATCTAACATCCCGAAACGGTACCAAGTTAGTGAAAGGTGAACTCTAAGGGCCATTCATAACTTATGAACATTACAATTTAATATTAAGGATTAAAAGTACTAAACCCAGTCTTCCCCAACCTGGTAAGTGCCCAGGAGATGATGACCCACTCATGCTGGGAATCTTAGGAGTTGAAATCCAACACTCAATGGCCAACCAAGTTGGAAAAGGTTGGGTTTAATCAATCAGAAATATTATATTGCAATATTCACAATTTATGAATGGAACCCATTTGTCAGGAGGACCTTTATTAGGAATTCTAAAAATGGAAGTCCACATATATTTTTAAAAGGACATTGATCAACTGGAGCAAGTCCAGAGAAGATCGACCAAGATGGTGAAAGGACTGGAAACCAACTCCTATGAGGAACTGTGAAAAGACCTAGGTATGTTTAACTTGTAGAAGGGAAGGTTGAGAGGACACACGATAGCTGTCTTCATATACCTGAAGGACTGTCACCCTGTAGAGAGTTCAGACTTGTTCTCACTTCCTCCAGAGGGTAAGACTAAAACTCATGGGATGAAACTCCAAAGAGGTAGACACGGATTAGACATTAGGAAGAACTTCTTAACTGTAAGAGCCATCACTCAGGGGAACAGTGACTGCACGGAGTGGTTTCTTCCCCTTCACTGGAGGTTTTCAAGCAGAGGTTGGATGGTCACCTATCGGGGATGGTGTAGTAAATCCTAAAGCATGCAGGAGGCTGGACTTGATGATCTCTTAGGTCCCCTCCAACTCTATGATTCTATTGGGAAGGCACTAAAGCTGGGCAAGTCTGACCTACATAAACTGCTCCAGTTTGTTCAAGGACAGTAAGCAGCTGTCGGTATAGGTAGATGGCCATGAGAAACAGGAAAATCTCAGCCACCGTTCCTTGGTTTGGAACGCCTCCTTCCCATCCTTCTGCCAGCTCACCTACTGACTGATTTTCAGAGAGGGAACCCTCTACTTCTTTTTCTTTTCATGTTTCAGGTCGCTGCCCTCCTGCTGCTATTTTTAACTGCAGGCATCTTTCATTTGGTTTCTGGGAAGGTACACGTTATATTTTTCTGACTGCTAGCCAATACTGAGATGTGGGATAGGAACAGGATCAGCTAAGAAACCTTGGGCATCAGCCTTGCACGAAAGAGTGAACACCCAGGGGCTGCCTCTTCTTTGCACATGCTGGATGGCGCTGCCTTCAGCCTACAGTAGGACTATGACATCAAGATCATGCGGCAAAGGGTGAGGACACTGTGAAACTAGGAATAAGGGTGTGGAAGATGAGGAAAGGGTGGCCTCCGTATGTCAAAGGTTAGAGTTCCAGGAGCAAACCCAACAGCAAGGAATTGTAGGACTCGTTCACAATTTAGGGGAAAACAGCACAACCTAATTGGCTGCCATTAAGGGAACAGAGGTGAAGTCACTACATCTTATGCAGAACAGGATGAAAAAGAGGCCGAGAACCACCAAGAACGCAGTTTATAATAGTTAAATATGCAGACAGAGGACAAAGAAAGATATGTGTCTCCTCCTATGACCGCAAATCCAGATACGACCAAAAGGAATAATCGGCCCCTGAGAAACTGAAGGGCACAATTCTATACTACAGAGAAGCTTTTGCTGGCTTTACTTAACCCATAGGTGTATTTATTTAATCCACCAGTTAAAATAGGAAGGTATCCACTGGCTGGGTTCAGAGAACCCTGCAACCTTCAAACCTGGGTGAACAGACCACAACTGCTCTATTTACAAAACATACTATGCCCAAACAAGACGACGATTGTTGGTGTGATGCACAGAGTTTTCTAGGAACGATGGCTGGTTCCAGAAGCCATGCTGAATCACAAATTATCCAGCTCCATTTTAGCCTAATCTGGCACATTCTGCTATATTTCTCCATTCAGTTGGATTTTTCTGGGGCACGGTGGGGGGGGGGAGTTCCCCCAACTCTGACCATGGATTACCAGCAATGGAGATGGTTCCAATGGTCTGATTCAGCAGAAGACAGGGTCTAGTTCCCACAGAAATAAATAAGTAAGCCTTCTCTTCCAAATTAGAACAGTTTAGGAAAGAGTACCCAAAAGATAAATATGAGGGGTGGGAGGACTGTGAATATACTGAGGAACAGGATTGCAGACTATTTTAGGATGATCCAGACGGATGTTTTAGTTTCGCTACACATTCAGGTCATCAAAGAAAAGTGGAGAAAGTAAAAACCCGCCCTCTTCCAACTCCGTCCCTCATCCAAGAGTACAAAACCTTCCAGATGTTTTGATTACTTCTGAACTTCTCCACCAGGCCCCCTTCAACTCTGAAGCTTTACAAAGGCCTTTGCTTCCGAAACACAAGGGTGGCTTAAAAAAATAAAATAAAATAATAAATAGCAACCAGTCTGTAAGGCCAACCCCAGCGGGTTCCTAATACTGTAGATGCTCCTACTTTGGTCAGCTCTGTAGTCGTTCACCACCTTGGAAAATCTGTGTGTCAATATGGAAAGGATCAAGTTACTTTCCCTCCCCCACCTCAGCAAGACGACTAGCAGGGTCAACATTTCACTCCTTGGGAAGGTCCTTTCAAACTCCACAGATGTACATATAAGGCAAGGCGTGGAGGGTTCCCCCCCCACACACACACATATACACAATGCCCCTTCATTCCCTCAATGCCAGGGACTATCAATTCCTGCTTTACATGGTACAGTTAATGAAACACCTCTCCTTTTAACGTAAAGCTGGGGAAAAGATTTGGGAGGGTTGGCAGGGGGAACATAGTAGGTTTGCGTTTGCCTGTTTTCTCTGCCTTTAACTTTCCCCACGGCTCAGCGACATGCTTTCACTTCAAGACATCAAAGGGAGAAAACAGCAAAACTCAACCCGCCCAGTCCAAATTCTCAAGCTGATGGGATGTTCAGGAAGATGAATAGCCTTTCTCAGCAGACTCTCCCCCTGCCAACGTGGGGTAGCTCTGTCTGCTTCCTTCCCCCATGTGCAATGGGGCCCTGTGGCTGCAAACCCCAAGATTTCCTGCAAGGGGGTGGAGGTGGATCACATGACCTCCTCCATAGCTGCCTCCACCTCTATGATCCTGGGATTCTACACAAAGTTCAGATGGTTATTAGGAAAGGGAAGAGAGAACATTTGTCTACATCCCACCATGTTTTCTGCTAACTGGACCCCCCAAATTACATTTCCTGCAAGTGACCGTGCTCTCAGTAGCCTATCATGGGAGGGAAAATGTTATTCTGGAGAGCAAGCCGGGCTCACTCCCTTCTCTTGAAAGATGGAGTCTAGCTGATTTCAGACACCATAAACATGTCCCTACACACACACACACACACACACACACACACTTTACTGCAGTTTCTCCTGGAAGGAGAAAGGCACACCACTGAGGAACCATGCACCAATGTGGGAGAAGAACTCCAAGTCCTCTGAAAGTGATCCAGGTTTGGGCTCTCTTGCTCACCCTGTCTTATAAATCTCACCAGTTCTTCCTGTGCAAACACCCCTCAACTACAGTGCCAGAGAAATCCCCTAGACCACATCCTTTGCTAACATTACCCAACAGGATTTCCCAGCTGCTCTATAGAGTTTCTCTTTGCTCTTGTGGTGTTGGGGAAAGATGGTGTTAATTTTTGCAGGGGGATGAGGAAGGACACATTTCCAGGCACAAACTCGTGGGTGGGGAAAAAGCAGATCTTTCCTCTCCAAAAATAAAAATAAACCCCCTGGATGGTTTGGGTGCTCTCTGATGGGGCAAAGTTCCTGGCCATTTGTGTGGGTGTGTGGGTGTGTGTTTTGCCTGACTCCTTGGAACAGAAAGAGTTGCCACCAGGAGCACATTGAGATGAACAAGCATATATGTAGGAAGCAGCCTGCCCACAGCAGAAATCTTTGCACCAACAGCCGGGGAAAATCACACATCCACAAACCTTTAAAGAAATATTTCTCTTCCCCCAGGACATCTCCTTCCTGCCTTGTAGCTGTTGATAGGATCCTCCTCCCCAGAAATCCTGGGGTCTGAGCTGCAAAGCAGCAAGCCCCCCACCCCCAAAATGCAAGATTCGCATTTCCTTGTAACAGCTCCTGCTATTCTCCCAGGAAGACTTCACCCAGCCTTTCTCCAAAACAACATCAAGGTAAGAGAGAATAAAGAAAAGAGAACCAATGGAGAA